CATCTAAATACTACGCTAGCTGTATTGTCCTGAAAGGTGAAGTATTCTTAATACTAAAATTACAACGTTACAGTCATCTTGAATAATCTTTACCAACACCAACAGAGTGTGAACATTTTCAAAAACTCGAACATAATTTAGAAGATTTTCAAACAAAAACTTATCAGAGGTACTTTTCTTCCAATTGACATGTTATTTTAATTTAACTATTTGTTATTAGTAGATGTTCGTAGAATTGACTCGGCGGTCTTGCATACACTACACAGTAGTTCATCAATTGTTTCTGGAACTGAAAATACTATTTATAGTATATTTTTATACAATTATTTAGGACATAGTACACTTGCACCGTCATAAACCTAAGGAGACCTCGGGAGCATAAATCACAGTTTTGCTGCTGTTGCATTTTATCTATAATCTACTACTTGCGCATACACAGTCGAGATATTGTTAGGATATAGTTAGGTTATTGTATTAAACAAACACGAAAATGCACACTCTTCTATGGTTTTCATAATGAGTTTTATAAATAATGTAAGGTAGAAGTGTCAATAATTTCTAGTTAATTACCAACGTACAGGTACATTATGCTAGTTTTGGTTCAGTGTCAATATTGAGCATAACAACATACAGTTCTGTAACAAAATATTTGCTTTATCATACATAGGTATAACGCTATTTTATAAAATACTTACACCACCTAAGAATAAATCCACAGTCCATAAGTTAGCAGTCTTTACTCCAGAGAATAAAAAAGAGGAAGTGTGTGCAAATAGCACAGGAAGGACGGCAATAGGACAAGATGCAAGCCGAAGTGCTGTTCGGGCTTGGAGTTGAAGTGGTACCGGGGTGGGGGGGATTCGAAAACCCCAACCTCTTCAAAGAAGGGATATACGTCAGGAAACATAGAACTTGTGGTCCAATGCAGCGTGAAAATGTAAATATTATTAGTATAATATTCTAAATAATGTCAGTATAAATACAATACACGCATACATGCAAATATTATTAGCTGTTGTACGTAGAACGCTTCTCCAATAGTCAATGTACGGTAGCTCTAAAAATCTAATCGGCGCAATTAACTATTGAAATGTATACATTACGTCATTACGTTATTTACAAAACGTAATATCGAAAGTAACAGTTATTATAGTATTTCATATTGTACGTGACAGACAGATAACTCCACTCCACCTGATGTTAAATGGAAAGTGGAATACAAACGTAAAAGAACCAAGTGCAGCGTTGATACAGTCACTGCTCTAGCCACCGTATGCCACTCTGTACAGAAAACCAAATCTGCCGTCCACTAAAAAAAGCGGGTAAGTGACAAATCGTCAAATATCCGTTTTAAGTAGACAAAGATAGAGCACAACATTCTCTTTTAAAAACAGTTAAAATTGGTTAACATGTTCGACTTATCGGAACTTAACCTAACGATGCATAGCTGACATATCATTAAACAATTTCAATATTCTAAAACTCGGTTATGGATTTTTTATATCTCAAAAAATTATTTTATATCTCCATAGAGTAGAATCTTGTCCAACAGTAGAACGCAAATTTATTAAAACAGTAATACCACGTCTACAACATATCACACGACCCATAAACGTTATACTATTAATAAACGTAGCAGTAGAACTCCTTGTGAAAGAGGTCGTTCTGGGTTGTACCTTAGGTACCTATTTCTGCCGCCAAGCAGTAATGTCAGCATTACTGTGTTCCGGTTTTGAAGGGTAAGGGTGCTGGTGAAATTACAGGCACATTGGACTTGTCAACTTATGTCTCAGAGTGACGGCCGCAGTGGTAGTGCCTCTCAGATTTTTGTAATTTAGCGCGGGAATTTACGTCCGATTTTGTGTCTGATGGTCGGATCCGACTATCGGATCGGATTCACTCAATACACGTCCGATAGGCTTGCGATTCTTTCGTCAGACTTTTTGTGAACTAACTGCAGTGTTGCCAATTTATGGGGAATTCCCCAAATGCAGGGAATTTCCACTCTACAACTCGTTTGGGGTTTTTGTTTGGATTACGCTATGTGGGGAAAATGCCCTAGCATTCTAGAATTTTATCACATTTTTGTTACATTGATGAACACTGATAAAAACACTATTTATCTGTTTTGTTTATGAACAATACTGATATTTTTTTCAACATCGCACATGCGCTGCTTACATAGCAACGTATATATAAATTATTAAGAAACCGCTTATATGTATAAAATTATCCAGTAGGATTAGAATAACTTTATCTTGTATTGTAAAATTACTACTATTATTAGTCACCAACAAGAGCCTGGCTCTCAAATAGGATGATGATGATCAGTCGGTTGAGCGCACGACCCTTCCTCGCGTTTTGACCGGTCCCCGGTGTGAAAAAAGAATACAGACATTGCCGAACCGTAGGTATTTTAAAGGACTATCCACACACATCCGGGCCGTGCTCGGCATGTGGACGGGGCGTGCTAATTTGTGTGAACTGCAGGCCCGTCCCGGCGCCAGCCCGGACACGGACATGTGTGAACGAGTTCATACAAGATATACGCAACGATATTTGTTTAAGCCTGACGGAGCATGGTCACGTCCACGTCCCGGGTATGTGTGGATCAATCTTAATACCACAACTTGCCACTCGTCAAGCTTGTTGAATTTATTTCTAATTATAGCATAACGTACTCGTATATGTATATATGGCCACATTTTGACTTTCATAATTATTTGATATATTTTTAAGCGTAACAATAATAATATAATAAATATTGAGAATTAATAAACATTACTACACTCCCTAAATTTGTAACTTTTGATTTTTGGGGATTTTGAATAATTTGCATTGGCATTGAGGGTAGAATGAGACGTGTATTTCGTCTCCCCGCAAAAGTATAGAGACCGCATCTTCAGACAATCGGACCGGTATTAAAATCGGATTCTATTTCCGACTCGAACGTGACGTCACTTCCGATCCGATAATAGGATCGGACGTGTATTGAGTGTTCATACAATTATATGGTACGAGCGCCTTCCAGTAGTCGGATCAGACTATCGGATGGAAAAATCGGACATGTATTCCCGCACTTAAAGCTCTGAGTGGCACTGTAACTGTCGAAAACTGTAACTGCACTGTAAATTATGGACAGGCGACAGCTTACTTAAACTTTATAGTCGATTGTCACTACACACATCAAAAGTGTCTAGGAATTAAGCACGCTTTTACTAGTGAAAATCAGGTCCTTTAATTATTTTTTAACAACAGATTTTTTCTTTCAAATTAATAATTTGAAAAACATGCAAGTAAATAAATAATTTATATAATACTATATATAATTTTTTTAGAACAAAGTTAAATAAATATATGTACTTATATAAATTTATATAAGTACATATATTTATTTAACTTTGTTCTACTTTTCTATGTATTTTATAAAAATTTTCTGTGTAGCGCTACATAGGCGTAAGCAGATTTTAAAAATAAGCAATGAAATCTGTGTTAATACGTTATTGCACGTTCCGGAAATTTTCCAGACTAGAGAATTACGTTATAAAAATATTTGTGTTATTTTTAACAATTTACGCCTAACGATTTTATTTAAAAATTCTACGAATACTTCATGTCTATATAGGCATATAATATAAATATTGTCTATTGCTTATATAAGCAATAGACAATATTCGCTCTACAGATAGAAAATGTTATATTTTGATAAGGCGATCAATTAGTACGGAATTAGTGGGAAGACCAGACTGAAAAAAGGTTAATTGGGTCCTTGGAAACGATAGAAATATTTCTTTAACATTGGTAAATACATAAATTCTATGATATGTTGTCGAAAGAACTAATGTCGAAGCCATAGCTCATGCCGGGGAGGCATTAGCATATGAATTCTGCATGATTTACATTGCGTTATCCTCGCCACAAAGTTGTATATTAGCCCATGTAGATGTACTATAAATTCGTTTAGTATCTTTAATATTAATAATAATAATCAACTCATTTATTAATCTTTTAAAGAGTGATACATTTATATAAAAAACTCAAACACAGTGATAATTATAACAAAACAAGACGGTTTGTGACTCAGTGGTCGCGGGGAACCCACGGCCTCTGTTATTCTCCCGTAAGCTTGTTAAAGTATTGTAATTCAATATTTATTTTAGGTCATCGAGACAAAATAGGTATTATAATTGAGATATTTTATTTTAAAACGTGGCAACTTAGCATAATTAACCCTATCAGTATCAAACCTTTGCAAGCGCAAGAGCCTGCTATGTACGTAGCCATTCGCGACTTGTCCATGAAAAGTTGAAAGTAAAAAAAGTCATAAAGAATCAAAATTACAAAATAATTTATTTACAAATGAAATTGTGTAGGTACATTACAATTTAAATTACGACAAAGAACCAGGTAACACAACTCAATTGTAGCTTATATCGCGTACAGAGAGTTTCCTACGATTCCTGCACTAGGCAAAATCTGTCTTGCAGGTAATCGATAAAAGCATTGTAATTAAATTGAAATTTACGGATAAGTGGAGGTAGTTCGTTCCAAATTTTGGCAGAAGCGTACTTAAACCAACCTCTTGCGCTCTTAAAGCAAATGTAATACTCTGCCAGACAATCACACTAATAGCCTGGTTTCAAATTATGCAATTCTCTGTACTACATAATAGAGCAAAGGAATTCACTCTAAGGCACCTTCCAGACTACTCCGACCATCAGTATGACCAGTACGACCATGAATAGAGATAAAAATGTCACTTCATTTGTTTGAAAACTATTCTGCCAAATCATTACAGTGACAACTGCGCTGCGATTGGCCAGCCCGAATTCGAAACAATTGACGCGTGTCGTCAATTTTTCACTTCAAATATTCCAGTTTAACTTGAGCTTTGCTGTAATGGACGAAAACAGGATAGAACGGCCCCATTGTTAGAATTATTGTCTATATTACAATAAATACAGAATACTTTTGGAATATACGAAGACGTACACAGAGCTCAGCTGTTGGCGCTGTACTATTTCAGTTTTCTAATTTGTGATTTCAGCGCAAACGAAAATTTTATTTCTAATTTTGATCCTGTCCACTCATAAATTCATCAAATGGCCAAATAAAGGTTTTAAGGTGTATATGGAATACTCACTCCCTGCATCTATGTGTGTTTTTGCCTCCGACGGCATCGGAGCCGAGGTTGAGGCCCCGCCCCATGTCCATCAACTCCACTTGTTCAATGCAACCTGACAGGCCGGCGTAGTGCTGATGGTTGTACATCTCCGGGATACCACCTGACGAATCATAACAATTATCGCTGTCAATTTATTTTTGAACCCTGACATAGTGGTACTCAGTTAATGGCATTTACAGTCGCGTCGTCAGTTATAATAACAATGTGTGAGACAACCATGCACGCCTGTTGCCTGGTCTCAAACTAGGGAATTTCCTGTATAATGAGTACCAGAGCAACGGCAATCACTCTGGGGCACTTCCTAGAACAACCAGGCCAGAACCAATTTAGAAAGTTCACTTTTCAAATTGGTCCTATCGGAAATCGAACCCGGGACCTCGACATCCAGTACCCACTGTGCAAACCGTTGTGCCACAGAGGTCGTCAGGGTTATATAATAATAATAATAATATTAGTATTTGTATTTGTATTTGTATTTGTATTTGTATTTGTATTTGTGATGGTGATGGTGATGGTGATGGTGATGGTGATGGTGATGGTGAT